TAGCATGATCAGCTTTGAATTTCTGTAATTGGATTTTCGTCCATATGCTAGGCAGTTGGAAAGTGAAAGAGGGCCTTTTCAGTTATGGCATACCTACCCAGATATGTTCATCTTGGCACCTACTCTATTTAATTTTAGGCAGCATGTCAATATTATCCATCTTTTCTGAGAATATAGTAAATAACATGGATTTTTAGTGGCAATTTTCTGCACCGATTTATCAGACTGTATTTTACTGCAATGTTAATGTTGTTCTTACCATCTGTTTCTATGGTTAGAAGCTGCCTTTAATGGAAAGGTGAAATTACTGTGAATGAATATTTGTCTTTCTGGCAGCCTCTGATGCTGTTGATCAAATGATTTTGGTAACACAGATGTGAATTCAGAAAACTAAAGTGCTCTGAAGTTTTCCTTAAGCACATCAAAAACCAGAAAGATCTGAAAACTAGAGATGGACAATCATTTCATGATTCACCCAAAATATTGACTGTGGAGACTTAGGTTCAATTTACCCTCTCTTTAGCTGGAGAGAACAGTTTAATGTTAGATGTGGATTGGTAAGAACCAGTCTCTAACATTCCTTTTTTTCTCCCAGCCTTGAAGCATTCATGGTAATCCTAGCTCTGAATACACAGTAAATTGCCTCTCAGAGTTGTGAGCAAAAAAGAAGTATGTAAAATGCCTCGGCCTCCTTAGAAGAAGGGCAGGATATAAATAATGACAATAAATAAATATATAAATATGATTTTATTGTTTATTATTATTCATTTTTAAAAAAAAAATTGGCTGCCCAACTCTAGTTATAATGATGAAAGTAGTATTGGATTAAAATTCTCCATTTTTATCTAGCCAAGGTGTTAAAAGAATAAAAGGAAACTACATTTCAATGCCTAATCTGTAAATTTAAGATATCATACCTGTCACCTGACACAGTTTGGCCAGAGACAGCTGTGACTTTGAAATCACCCTGCCTGAAAACCCTTTGGATGAGAACAAGAGTGGGCATGCCTCATCAGTCATTATCATCTCATCTTCCTTCTTGGAATCTTCTCCCAGGTTGCACAAGAACTGCAGACAACAACCATTCCTCTTACACTAGTGGAGAGAATCTGGAATTATGATCTGGAATTATGACAAACTGAATAATATATCCTGCATGCCATTGCCAGCCCCCTCATCATAGCCTGGAAGGATGGACACTAAACCATCCACCCCAAAGTGTCTGGTGCACCAGAGGCCAAAGATTACATAGGGTACATTTGTGAGTGCTTCTCAGTTAGCTCACCCATCCCTTCCTTAAGAGTGACAAGAATTAGTACTGCCACATAATGGACTGAGTTATCAGGGAAGAGCATGGCAATGGCCAGCATAGCTCCAAAACCACTGGCCACAGGGTTAGAAGGCCCCTTGGAGGGTTGTGGTGGTTTAAGAGATCCTAGAGGAGTAAAATCAAGGGTCTTTCTCTTGAATGCAGCATTTTGTTTTCAGAATCTGCTTAATTGCTGAAAACAAATGTAGAACTGTTATGTAGAACAGTATTTTCTTTCCAAAAACTGCTTATTTTATTCTAGGACTAAACAAAAATCTTATAAAATAAAAACTCCCTTGAATCAAGTTCAGCTCTGGGGTACATCCATGTAGGATGGAAAAAAAGGGCTTGTGCTTTAAGAATGATCTTATCTTCAATGAGTGGATTCCTTAAAGCAGTGGCACATTTCAGGCTCATGTGCAAACCTGAAAAGGTTGAGTTTCATTAATGAACAGCAGAGAGATGCTGTGCTTGATCTCACGAAAGGTCCAGAATGCTTCTTCCAAATAATATTTGAAACATAAATCACATGAAGTATCCATAGTGGTGTCATAGAAAATGAAAAAAATAAATAAATAAGCATTGCAGTGTTGCAACACAAGCTCCATCCCTTTGGCGTGTGCATTGCAGCATCACATGCATGTATGGAAGGAATGGAACTTGTGACACAAGGCTGTAATATTCATTTCATCATTCTGATTAAACCATTGGATTCTGTGAGTGTCTATGACGCACAGCCCTATATAAACATTTTTTAAATAAATGAAAAATGCGGGAAATTAATGAAAAAAAATTAAGCACTCAATGAATTCATGTAGTTTACATCAGAGTTGCATAATTTTTCATTTTTATTTGCAGGTCCAGAAATTGGTTTCAAGCTTTTCTATCTTTGGCTCAGGAAAGACAGTTTAACAGTGTGATTCCCACCATAAAAGGGAAGATTCTTTAAAGCTCAGGTTTCCTGCTGAAATTTAAATTGAGAAACAAAGAAGCCAATAGGCCCCAATTAGGCTAATTTATTGTAGTGTAAAACAATGAAGAGAATCTAATAATTAAACATGAAAGCAGACGTTGGCAGCAATCAAAAACAGATCAAGGCATGTACACATGATTTCTCCAAACAATAGGTGATGCACATTTTAGTGGTACAGTAGGTGATATACAGTTTACTCTGGGGGCAAATTACCTTCTCACTTAATTAAAATAGAGTAATGATGGCATAATATATTACTTGTTAAAAATTGTATGCTTAATCATTAACACAGAACCTAGTTGAACAATATTTCTTATAATGTATCCTAAGCAAGTACCAATAGGTTTTTTAAACATCTTTTAGAGGTTTTTAATGATTTTTAAATGGATATTTAAAAGATGAGCAGATAAATAAATGTAAAGTAAATATTAAAGGTAACAGAATTTCATTTATAATGGACTTCATCATATTCTATTGTAGACATATTCCCCATAAGATGAGGTACAATTTAAGAAACACAGTTTTGTTTTAAAAAGGAGAAGGCCAAACTGATAGCAAGGTACAAATGCAAGCTTAACATTACTTTAAGTGTTTAACGTATTTAATTACATATGCTAAAAATGTTTAAAGATTATTTTCAATTTCTAAGATGTGATCCTTGACTTTTCTTCAGGTGATTTCTATACAGATATGTGCGTTGCTAATTATATTTTTCTTCCCATTTCTCTTACAGCTGCCACCCAACAAAAACAAAAACCAACAAACCAACAATAACAAAACAACAACAACAAAACCCCCAGCACTTCACATCTCGTCAATAACCGAGTTCTATTTTCCAAAGAATGGCACTTGCAAAGGAGATATCTGCAATTCAAATTCCGGGGCACTGCTGAACCCACACAAAAGTGTACAAAAAGAGAAAAGGAATAGTAATACATTTGAACATGGAGGAGCCTATGACAGATAAAGAGATGGGAGAACAATCCAGAAGTGACAGAATGCTAGGAAGCACCTCAGTGAGAACAAATGAAATGTGAAGTTTGGCCGTAGCAGCACATTTTAAGAGGATTTGCTGTCGTTGCATTCTTTACATCATAATAAACAGAACTACAAATAAATTGTAGATCTATGATGTGAAAGTAAAGCTCAACTCCTTATTACTATCTTTAAATGTTCACATCTTCAGCACAAAGACTGAGCAATTAGAGAGCTCCTAGAATAGAGAATCCTTCCCCAAACCATCTCTCCACTTCAATTCTTATTTAGGCAGCCTCAAAAAATTGTGTATCCCATTTGTCCTTTAAACCAAACAAACAAAGAAACAAACAAACAAACAAAAAATGGCATTCAGTTGAATGAACATGTAATCCTTATATCATATGAAGCCAATAAAAGTTGTGGTCTTAGCCACTTACCACTTGTACGTTCAGCTATAATTAGAATATACCATAATCCCTCAGAAATAGTGGGGAGCTTAAGTTAATAATGACTAGGAGCTCAATTATTTCAATAGGTCTATTTATTGAATATTTATTGGATTTATTTATATATATTGGATCTGCAAAGCTTCCTAATCATGACACAACTTGAGACAGTGTACAAAGAAGACCTACTTTTAAGTATGTCTAAATCTGGCCCAATCCATTATATTTTACTCCACCCTTCATCCAAAAAGCCAAAAAGAAAAACAAAAGTAATTCATCATTATAGCCTCTATAATCCTTGCCACAACCTTAAATTAAATTAGGCTGAGAGCTGGTGATAGCAAAGTGTGATGGAGGACTTGGATGAGGAGGTTCAAGGTCATGGGGAGAAGCATCTCCTCATCCCACAGCCTGAGCATGTGAAAGCAAAGAGGATGAGATTGGCACCACCCTAAGGAATTCGTAGTGTTTAGTTGCAGGCTTTGGGAGTTAGAGTTAGTCTGGAGAGATTCTGTCTAGCAGGTGTAAGCTAATAAAGTAACTGAGCAATTCCATAACCGTCCCGTGGAGTTTCTTGGGCTGAACCTGACACAAAGTCACTCAATGAATTCTATATTACAGAAGAAGGAAGATTTACTCAAGGTAAATTGGTTGGTCTTTGAGGTGCCACAATATTGCTTATTATTATCTTTGTTTGTTTGTTTTGTTTCAAAAGACTAGCCTGGCTACCCTACAAAAACAAATGATAAGGAAAATTAAGATGATGAAGAGATACTAGCAATGCTCCTTGGTTTACAAATGGTAATGCAAGCTGGCCTGGGGGCTCAAAGAATTTTTCACTGCTGAGCCATGCAAATTTTAAGGGCTTTTTTTTTTAGGTAAACCTTTTTCAAGCCTGTGTTTATGAGCTTAAGTAGAACCACAGAAAGCAGGCAATAGTATTGGAAAGGATTAGCCATATTTACCAAGGTAGATAGCCTTGGGATTTTTGGTGATTTATTGCCAATTCTAATTTGGAAACAGTAGCTCCAGTCAAAGAAGGAAACAATCAAACAGACAAAAAAGCAGGCAAAAACTACAACACAACTAAATAAATTCTGCAGTGAAATATTTTTCATTCAGGCTGCACAATCTTTTCAGTTCTGTTTCCTCAACTTATTAAAATACAATTTCCACCCACTGGCTTGCCTGAACTTTTACTGCTGTTACTCGTTTCTTCTTGGCAAAGACAAGGCCGCTAGGAATATTCTCACCCTTAGATTAAAAACAGGATTCATGTTTGGCTGACAGTTACCTCATTTATAATGATCCAGTGACAGTCAAAAGCAACCAAATTGGCTTCCACAACCTGAAATAGAAAACAAACCAGCCATCAGTCATCTCATTTATACAAAAGCCAATGATTGTTAAATAGATGCTTCCCACGAAGGACAGCAGGGGCTCAGGAGTGGGGATGGGGGCAGGAGGCACAGCAGAGGCATTAAAACAAAATAAAATAACTAGGAAACCCCATATCTGAAAAGACTCACTTTGCCCATTCTGTGGAAATAGAAAGGCTCTTTGTGCAAGCACGGTCCCATAGCATTTGGATTACTGTTTGGTGTGTTAATTAAACTGTGGGATTAGAGAACTATGAAGGTCTTTTCCATCTATCCATCTATCCATCCATGAAAAGTCCATATGATTTAAGCGTTAATCTTTAATGATAAGTTGAAAAACACTGAGATATTCAAGATGCATGATTTTTAAAAGCTGATTTTCCACTGTAGCTGCAGTGGAAGCGTTCTGACTATGTTTGGTTAATAAATGCGCTCCCTTGAATTGAGCTTAGGGAAAACTCTTTCTCTGTCACTGGAGCAATATGAGGTAGAAGGGGAAGTGACAATTCTTTAAATAACTACAGATTATATGTAGCCCAGGGTTGACCTGTGGAGTCCTTGGGGGTTCTCTGAGCTTGGTTGTTTTCTTGCAGACATTTCATTACCCGTCTAGATAACATCCTCAATGCTAGCATGGATAACGAAATGTCCGCAAGAAAACAACCAAGCTCAGAAAACCCCAAGGACTCCACATAACAACAGATTCTCAGGAGTGAATTAGCAATAGAGACACTCCATTTTTGTGTGGGGGAATCATAATACTACCCCTGTAATTTCAGCAGTAACAATTGCACTAGCATCATGAATCCAGCTGGCAGATATCTATTAGTTTTTCCTAAACCCAGGACACCTCATTTCAGAACACTGTGCAAAGAAAAGAGCAGCTATCATGACACAAGTGAACCAATGATGATTGAGGATATTAAGAGAAAATCCTGCAAAGTAGCCTTCTTTTTCTAGGTCATAAAGTGAGAATAAGTGGTGGTGTTGGTGGTTTAAAAGAATGCTTAAAAGATTTCTGAGAAATGTAAGTTTAGTTCTACTTATAACGTCATCGACCTATTCACCAAACCTCCTGAAAAACATGAAATTGGCATTCAGTAGTGAATAGATAATAGCAAATGCTTCATATAAGATGGGTTACATTATCAAAAACATCTTTAAATATGAATCATATCCCAAGCATTTAATTCTAATATGAACATTTGTTAAAGTCTATCCATAAATTCTCCAAAGGATATTTTAGCAGCATTCAGTCCAGCAAAGTATATGTCCTAATTGGTAACCTTCTCATGGTCATCAGAGCAGAAAGATATGTAGATGTTACATTATGTCATGTCCCATGCACAGAGTTTTCATGACTTCCATAACCACCCTGGAGGGGATTTCTCTATTTTTACAGAATGTGTATCCTATGTGGTGTTTTCAGATGAAACTGGTCTTGTGGTGCCTCCTAGTAGTCAGGGTAACTTCACATGCCAGGGGCATATTGTAAGCTGAATAGGCAGGGTGAATACTTTGGTCAAATTTAGGTTGGAGGGAGGGATGCTTTAAGCCAACAGTGGCTAATGTCTGAATGATCAGGGTCTACAGTTCAGCCCCCTGGTCTTTCAAAACCATCCAGTGACATCCACTGATACAGTGATGTGCCTGAAAGGGGTACAAGCAAACATATTGACTCAAGATAGGGATGGAAGCATGAGGGCTATGAAGAAAAATGCTCCCAATTTTAACCTTAATTCACCTCCTCTGAAAAACAGCCTGAAACTGCTTTTTTGACAACTTTAAGATATGTGGACTTCAACTCCCAGAATTCCCCATTGGCCTAATCCAGTTGCCCAGGTTGAGAAACACTAGTTTAGGCCAATGTTGGATTGTTTCTCAGGGGACTGGGAGGGTTTGAGGTTAAGGATGACAGTGAAAGCCTTCTCTTCTGCTCCACTGCCACCCTTAAACCATCAAAAACCCTTTAAAAAAGAAAATAGCCATTTTGGGTCCAGACTTCTTGCTTCTATTCCCAACCCTTATTTTTTCATAAAGAGCAAACAACCACAATACCAAAAAAAAAAAAAAAAAAAATGTACACCACCAACATTTTGGATATTTTGTGCTGAATTTCAATGGTTTGATCTTGAGAAGCTGGAGTCAATGTGAGTTCACTAGATCTGTGTAGCCCTTGACCCTGCTTCAAGGTCCCCATTTTGCACTTTTAAATCCTCTCACTGGGAAAATTGGGGATTTCTGGGGCAACAAGGGGAAGGCTAATTTTAAACTGGGTGAATTGTCCCCCTTGTCCTATTTTTTCTTTTCTTTACAAAGGAGCAAAATTTGCATGGGCGAAATGTGGTGTAACTGTATTCTCATTGTAAAATCCTACTTGCAATAGCATGTGGCTACCCTAGTTTTAATGAAATGTAAAGGGCTGTTCAGATTAAGAAAAATGAACAGCTAGAGAGGCTAGATAGTGGTGGAATGATGTGTAACAGAAACAAGAAGTAACCAAGCATCCGTAGCACACGAATCCCCGTTTCTTAAACAGACTTAAACTTTTCAGTAGTAAAACAAACTCAAAACCATGACGAATACAGAGCCACAAGTATCATGCGACTAGCTCGGAACCACAGAGCAGCCACTTTGGCAAGGAGGAGTTGAAACCTAAATCAATCAGTTAAGTAATCCACACACTTTATTCCCACCTCCCTCTGACTAAAACTTATTTGAACATGAATTCCACTCTTGTTTCCTTCCTCCTCTTCATTATAATCATTTGACAAAAGCAAGGGTTTCCATTCTTCAGCTGTTGTGAAAAACAAATTTACGTATTTATCATCATATTAAAACTGTATTTTTTTAGTTCAAAAGCAGCGCTAACACAGGCCAGATCCAATTAGTTGTCAAGAATGGCTCCTTCCCAATCTTGCAGTTTACTTCACTCAGTGATCGCCTGAGAAGGAAGAGACGGAATGGGATAACACTAATCAGAGAACGGGAGGCTGGAGAACCAGGGAATATTCTTCATTGCTAAACTCATACATTGCTTGTATGAAGGCTTGGAAAGATGAAGTGAATAAACCAGATTCCTGATGAGCTATATATTTTTTAAAAAAATCTATTATTAAGAGGTAAAAATAGTAATAGCTCAGAACAAAACAGCTGCACTATGCACTAGAAGTGTGAAATAACTTCAGGAGTAATAAAACAGATGCTCCCTTGTCACTCTAACACATTGGTTGTTTCTGAGAGAAAGTAAGGGATCAGCCTAATATAAAACAGCAGGAATACCAGGATTAGCATTTAGATAGATTGATCTAAATCATCTCAGTAATTTAGGCAACCAATCTGTCAGGGGGTTGGATATTATTGAGCACAAATGTTGTTGTTAAGATCTTGACCATGACGTGGGGAAAAAATTCTATTCTTAGCTCTGGGAGCTCACTAGGTGATTTTGGGCCAGTCACTTTCTCTCAGCCCCCTTACCCATAAAACTGTTGTTTGGGAAGATTTGGAGGAGGGAATGCTATGTATGCTACCTTAAGTTCTTGAAGAAAAGGCTAAATGTAAATCTATTAAATAAAGGATAAACTTATATTCTGTAGGTCGGTTGTAGGGATCTGAAACTGAGAAATTCTATATAGTGCAATCCTACATATGTCTATACATAAGTTCCACTGAGTTTAATAGGATAACAAGCAATTGTGTTTAGGGTTCCTAGCCCCAAAAAGTAATGAGTCATGGTTTCCTTAATTGTGGTATACTAAAGAAAAAATGTATTAGTAAAATTATACTTAGTAACATTAATAACATTAATTTCAATAAAATTGTGCTAAATCATGAAACCATGGCTGAGTTGACACAGTACACCAGATACAACCACATAATAGTATAATGGATAAAGTCAGATGTCATATTCATGTCATCCTTCCTCCTGTTACATGAAGTACTTTGGGGGGCTTCTCATTTTATAATTCATTCTTTTCTGATAATCCAAGCATAATGCATTTTCCATGGCATATTATTCTCAAACAATATTCTCAAACTATACTACCTTTAAAGGTGATAGACTGTTTCAATAAATGAGCAAGAACTTTACCTTTTAGCTAAGTGGCTGAATCTATTATGCCACACTGCCTCATCATCTGTGGCACATACAGTAACCAAACTTATGTCACTATCTTTCCTAGATTCCATCAATTGATGCATGTGAAATTACCATCAGCGTTATTTATGGAGAGTGTAGTTCCAGGAGTGTGGTTCTAATAGGGAACTTGTGTAATCTTTCTCAGAGTAGGACTATCACATGTGACCTATAAAAATCTGGATGACTATTAAATGGCAGCATCTCTTTGTTGCCATCAATTGATCCTTTTATAGTTCATTCACTCTCACATTTCACCTCCTACATATAGTGTTGCATAGTAGAAAGACTGTGGATGAACTTATACATTGGCCTGACTGCAAAATTGATATACACACTGAAGATCATGAAGTAGTTGGGTAGTCCTACCCGATGAAAGATCTAGTTAATCCAGGAATGCAGAATATCTGTCAATTGTAAACCAAGTTTAACACATTGAAGACTGCACTTCTAAAGTAGATTGGGAAGAACCTAAAGGGAGTGGGCCTTTTTAAATTTCTGATTTTATTTTATGTTCACATTTATTTTCATATTTGTTATACTAGAGCAGTGTTGTCCA